CGACAGAGTGAGACTCCGACTCAAAAAAAAAATATAAGCCTAGAAAACACGAGTCAGCGGGGAGTTTTGAGCGCTCTCCAGCCAGAGTCCAGAGCCTGGAGCCCTTTCTTTTTTGGAGCCCTTTTTAGGGCCCATTCTGGAGCTGGAGCCTCATTGAGCCTTCTTGGTTAGCAAAGCCCACTCGAGACTGCAGGTCCCGAGCTGGAGCCCAGAGGACATTCGGGAACCCGCACTGCACAGAGCCAGGAACCACTCTAGACCCAAAGCCAGGAGCCTAGAGTCCGGGCAGAGCTTATGGGCCTCACCTCCCCGCGGTGCCGGTCGAAGAATTTCACTCTCCCCACGGCCAGCGTCCCCGGGGCCCCGCTGTTCATGGGCGCCTGGCCGCCGGGCCCGGGCCTCCCTCTTCGGCGGCCGCCGGTCCTCGGGCGCCCCCCAGGACGCGGCGGAGGGAGGAGGAAACTGTGTACAAGCGGTCTCCATGGTAACCGGGGCGGGGCGCGCCGCCGCGGTGGAGTCCCTGGGAAGCCAGGGGGACGGACAGCCAGGACCAGACACCGCACAGCTCCGGGGAGGTGCGGCCGCAGCAGGCCGGGCCGCGGGCGGCTCGGAGAAGGGACTTCCCGCGCCAGCCGCCGCCGGCCGATTCTTGGGCCGCCGGGGTCGCGGAGCACGTCGGTGCGCAGGGCTGCCGCTAGAGGGCGCGCCAGCCCCACACGCCGCGCCGCCGTCCGGCGCCCGCGCCCAGCGTCTGCGGTCTACAAAGGGTCCGTAGGTGACAACGAGCCTATTTCCTCATCTGCACAGCGAGGGGGATCAGCCCCGCCCCACAGGACTGCAGCGTTGAGCCAAGCTCAGGGCCAGCCGCATGGCAGCGGCCCAAGAGGGCCAAGACCCTTCCGTCCCGCAGTGGCCGGTACTGAGGCCGAGGATGTCCGGGCAGAGGGCTGGGGACAATAGCCATCTCTGCCCTCCAGGGCATGGCGGGCTGGCGGCAGCGTGTGTTAAATGGGGGGGGGCACGCCAAAGTTAGCATTCCTGGCAGCACAAAATGCGCCGTCTGAGCTTGGGTGGAGGCCATGGAGGTGGCCTCGGAAGGGGCGAGACCCTCATCGGAAAGCTCAACCAAAAACGCAGGAAGAAGAGGACCTGGTTTCATTGTGCATTTTGTGGGTGAGGAAGCGGAGGCCCCAAGAGGTGAGGTGACTTGCCGAGATCACTCAGCCAGTTGGAGGGGGACTGGAATTTTTCATCCCGTGTCTGGCTCTGGGGGTCTATGCAGAGCCCCCTGCGGGGAATTTCAGGAGCCTCACAGCAGAGATCGGGTCACTGACTCCGGGTCTGTCTGGGAAACTGAGTCCCTGGGGGGGCAGGGCTTGGCTCAGACATTCAGCGAGCGCCTCCAAGGCTGAGCGGGGCCCGGGACCCAGTGTCCCCTCCCCCACCGCAGGACGGGGTGGAACAGAGGACCTCCCCTCCCCCATGGATTCCAGGCTCCCTGGGGGCAAGGGCGGGGCAATTGGGCTTTGGGAGCAACGAACTCGAGGATTCCCAGCGGTGACTCACACCCTCCCCTAGACCCCTTTGCCAAAAAACTCTTCTCACGAGATCCACCGTGCCCCTGCTCTATTTTAAGCCCCAGACAGGCAGGCGGGTGAGGGGGCGACAATGGCAGCTTTGAGGCGGCCCCACCCCCCCATCCCAGATCCCAGAGGGCCCGGGGTCACTGTGTTGGCTCCTTGGGGACCCGTCTGGCTGGGCCTATGAGCCGTCCCTCCAACGCCCAGACACGGCTTCCCTGCGGCTGGCTCCCTGGCCCCCAGCCCATGGCCTGCTTGGGCATCTCCAGCCACCTGGTTGCTCCTCTACCCAGAGGGCCCAGAGCCACCTTCCCCAGCCCCGCGGAGGAGTTGGTGAGGTGATGCCCAGATCTGCTCAGAGGCGTTGGGTGTCAGAGAAAGTTGTTTTGAGGAAGGAGAGAGTTGGAGAGTCAGACTGCACAGGTTCCTGCCAACTCCAGGCTTCCAGCTCCAGGTGCAGGGGCTGCCCCTCCTGCCATCCAAGTTGAGAGGTACCTGCACGCTTAGAGTAAATTCCCTTTTGCTGAGTAAGCTGCCTGGTGTCAGCTACTTGCCACCCAAGTCTGGACTAAAACATGTCTGTAACCTCCAAAAGCTGGTCCCCTTCCTCAGGACTCTCCGGCGGTGTTGCACACAGGGCTCCTGCTTCCCAAGGATGGCCTGAGCTGTCATCAGCACCATCAAGGTCCTGTGGTTTCTCCAGAACCTGTACCACACTTATTGGAATACACTGTCATTTGTCCTCGTCCCTCCTTAAGTGTGGGGACTAGAACTAGAAACACACTCCCCATATAGATGGACAAAAGTCAAAAGGTGCTGTCACCTCCCGTTTTCTGGACACTCAGTCTGTAGTAATGCACTCTGTATTTCCAGAGGCGTTTGTGTTCCCAGCAGTTACATTACTCACTGCAAATGCATGAGCGTCTTTTCCCAGGAACTGTCTGGCCATCCTCCTCCCCTCTCTGGTACTTACACAACGAGTTTTTTGGAAACACACGCAAGACCTTACATTATGCTAGCTAAAGGTCACCTTCTTGGCTCCCATCCAGCGGCCTAGTCGTGAATGCACTGGAAGAGTCACACGAGGCATTCATTCTGCCACTGTGGCTGCTGTGAGTTTTATGAGAAGGGCTGTGTTCTGAATTCACGCTGGGAGAATGACGGTCGGTCAGCAAGATGGAGGAAGAACAGAGGCCCTGGAGCTACTCCTAGAGACCTCAGGGATTCTCCTTTATCTGTCCCATCCATATGCCCCAGGATCATGGCTAACCATGGGGGGAGGGCACACTCCCTTGGAGAGATCCAGTGGAGGAAGGTGATGCCGAATCACAGCAGGGCTCTCTGGTTGCAGACAATGGAGACCATGGCAGCAGGTCCAGATGGAAAGGACAGGATGCCACACTCCCATGCTGGGAGAAGCCAGCACTTCCGAATTCTCGAGGAGCCCGTGATGGACCCAGCGAGAGTCGCACTCACTTCTGGCTGGGGGAACACATCTCCACTGGCCGTCCTGGGGTAAGGGCCAGGATGGATCCCGCCTCCGTCCTGCTTGCGATTCCGTCCAAAGGCAGAATCTAGGGGATCTCTAGTCTAAAGTCATCTGTGCACCTCTAGGCTTAGGAGTCAGACACTGTCCCAGTCTGACTCCGTCACCTGCTGGCCACAACCTTGGGGAGTGACCAGGTTCTGTGCCTCCTGTTCCTCCTTACCAAAGGAAAGGTAATGGGTGACGCCTGCCTCATGAGATTGACTTTGACCCTTGAGGTTGGCTTTGACCCTTGAGGTTGGCTTTGATGTAGGTGCCCAGAAGGTGCTTGGTGCCTAGTAGGCATGCTGTGTGAGTTAGCTGTGGTGTCAATAAAGCATCATTCTGTCACCAGTCCACCTTACTCTGCTGGAGCCCCAGGGAGAGCAAGACAAGCTCCCTATGTAGAAAAACGCTCAGCATCACTCAGCATCAGGGAAATGCAAATCAAAACCACAAGGAAATACCACCTCCCACCTTCTAAAATGACTTTTACCAAAGACAGAAAATAATAGATGCTACGAGGATGTGGAGAAGGGAACCCTCGCACACTGCTGGCGGGAATGTACCTTAGGACGGAGAGTCCCCAAAAGACTAAAAATAGAACTACCACACCACATATCCAGCATTCTCACTGCTGGGAGTGTATCCCAAAGAAAGGAAATCAGTGTGTTGAAGAGATGTCTGCACGCCCGGGTTCACTGAACACTGTTCACAACAGCCAAGGCATGAGATCAACCTCAGTATTCATCAGCAGATGAACAGATGCAGAAAATATGGTGCAAACACATGATGGAATGCCATTCAGCCATCAAAAAGAGGAAACCCTGTCATTTGCAGCAAGGTGCTACAACTGGAGGCCATTATGTTAAGTGAAATCCGCTGGGCTCAGAAAGCCAAATGCCGCATATTCTCTCTCACATGTGAGAGCTAAAACAGTGGAGGTCTTGGGGGTAGAGAGGAGAATGGTGGTTACCAGAGGCTGGGGAGGGGAGGGCAAAGGAGGCTGAGAAGGAATTGGTTACTGGTACAAACTTCCAGTTAGACACAAGGAATAAGTTCTTTTGTTTGACAGTACAGAGGGAAACTGTAGTTAACAAGATATTGTGAACTTCAATATAAGAGAGAATATTTGGGATGTTCTTAGCACAAGAAACTGATAAATATTGAGGTGGTAGATTTCCTAATTACCCTGATTTGATCATTGCACATTATATGCATGTATTTGAATATCACGTAAATATGTACAACCAGTCGGGTGCAGTGGCTCGCGACTGTAATCCCAGCACTTTGGGAGGCGGAGGCGAGAGGATTGCCTGAGCTCAGGGGTTTGAGATCAGCCTGAGCAACATGGTGAGACCTCATCTCTACAATAAATAAAAAAAATCAGCCAGGTGCAGTGGCACATGCCTTGTGGTTACAGCTATTTGGAAGGCTGAGGCAGAAGGGATTGCCTGAGCCGAGCAGGCCTGAGCCCTGCGGTGGCCATGAGCATGCCACTGCACTCCATCCTGGGCAACAGAGTGAGACTCCGACTCAAAAAAAAAAAAAAAAAAAATTAGCCGGGCGTGGTAGCTCGAACCTGTAATTCCGGCTACTCAGAAGGCTGAGGCGGAAGGATTGCCGGAGCCCAGCAGGTCGAGGCTGCGGTGGCCGGGAGCGGCCACTGCACTCCAGTCTGGGCGACAGAGTGAGACTCCAACTCAAAAATAAAATAAAAATTAAAAAAAAAAAATAAAACCTCCCATGTTTTACAGAAATCCATATAGCCTGTGTGTGGGTTGGGTCCTGTCACCAAGAGCAACTTTAATTCCTGGTGACCCATATTGGCATTCCCAGTCACACTCCCTTTTCTGAGCGCTCTGAAATTGCCTGCTATACAACCTGTCCCAGACATTGCCTGGAGAATTGAACTCACTAGGCTGTTACTACTGGGATCACCCTTCTAGGAGGGCGGGGCAATGGCGTTCTCCTCTTTGCTGGCTTTTGGCCTCTGGCATCAGGTTCATACCCTTAATTCTGGCTCTCTTGGGATAAAATTTGCCAGGCCTAAAAACTTAGTCTTCTTTATCTTCTTTTTCTTCTTCTCTCTCTCTTTTTTTTTTTTTTTTTTTTTTTTAAGTAGAGACTCACTCACAGCCACTGCAGTCTCCACCTGCTGGACTCAGGCGATCCTTCCACTTCAGCCTTCCAAGCAGCTGGACCTACAGGCATGCACCATCAGGCTGATCTCGAACCCATGGGCTCAGACAGTCTTTTTTCCTCCACTTCCCAAAGTGCTGGGATTGCAGGTGTGAACCTCCGCACCTG